TGTTACATTAATGGAAATACTGAATTGATACTTTCAGCAATGTTAAAGGATCTACAAGGTACTTTCAGCTATAAAAACCCACGACCCACAATAAGCCTGAAATTTTTGGGCCTCCCCAGTGGCGCAGCGATTGAGCGCTGGGTTGCGAAGCTGCCCGCAGCCTCTGCAGTGCTGGTTCCATCCCCAGCCGCCAGGCGAGGGTCCCACATGGCACACAGATCTCTCCTGCCACCCGCTGCTTCCCTCACCAGTGTACTTCCTCAGTCTGCCTGTTCAGCTCCCTGCTCTGGCTCTGGTGAATTCTCTCACCCTCCCGCACTTCTGACTGTACCCAGTGCTTGTATAAATAAACAAATATTTTTTAAAAAGCCTGAAATTTTTACTAGCATTGTAAACAATTTACAAAAGAAAATACCTTCCAATAGCCAAAATACATAAATAAACATAGTAATATAAACCACTATCAAGCTAGGAGATTCCGAAATGCTAAGATTAAATCAAATGGTATTTTAAAAAAGAATGGTAGATTTTACAATGGTTTTTTAAAGAAACTTCCCCAAATCCTCACAAGTTTTTTTCTTAATTCTGAACTAAATGCCAATCCAAATAAAAGCAACATCTACTGAGAATTCACATGACCAAAGCACTAGACAGAGAATTCAGCTCAGTAAGCTCCCAACTCTCAAGGAATTCCCTGAATAATATTCAACTCCAGCTCCAGTCAACATTATCTACCCTTCTTCTCCCCCAATAGTTTTGTATGTTAAGCTTTCATACTTGTACTACTCATTTTTTCCTACCTAGAATATTAAGATCTAGCACATCACTCCATGTACTTGAATTTCCATACATTCATCTGCTCTGCCACTGTGGCTAGATAACTGAACACTGCCTTAGGCTATTTATCTTTTTACAACAGTGTCTTAGCCATTCCAAGAACATGCAGATTTACTGAAGACAAGCATTAGATCTCAAACTTGTTGTATTCTTCCCCAAGGAATGATTAAAAGTGTCTTCTAACACAAAATTTCAAAAGCCTAACTTTAGAGGAAACTGAGAGTTAAGATCTTATGCTTAAGGTTCCCAAGTCAAAATTCCAGAGAATACAGTAAACAGTTCCAAAGGTATCTAGAAATCCCAAATCCACTACTGTCTCATGGATCTTGGGCAAGTGCTTTAACATGGACACACCTGTTTCTTCAGCCACAACAGAGATCAGGAATCTCCAAGTTACCAGAATCATATAACCAATAGGATCCTATATGTATAAAGTCTACAGGAAGCATTACTATTATGTACATAGATAAAACAGCAATTTTTTTCATTGGCTCTGAATTACATGGGAGTATTTTAACTCAGCTGGTGAAGCATGTGAAAATAAAGGCAACGGCATAACCTCACTCATTACCTCAACCCAATGAACAGTCAATATTCATATTCATAAATGGAGTATTCACATGGCTCATGCTTACTAGTTTTTACTCTGATATCTACAGAAATCATGTACCTACTAAAACAAAATCTTAATATCCCACCTATAAATACAGAATACTAAAACATGGAAAAGGGTTATTATTTTTTTTCCAATAAATTATGCCTGTGATAAAAGTTTTACAAAAGAAATTTCTTAAAACGTTGATATCCCAAAACATTAACGCCTGCAACACATTATCTTCTTTTCATTAACAGACTGTGGTTACACGAAGGTCTAAAATTTCAGATCTTTAGGGGACCTTTTGTAATCACCAATGTCTAAGTCTCTATACAGTGAAAATTTAATCCCTAATTAAATAGTCTGCCCAACATACACAGTTTACAATCCTCAAGACAAGAACCGAAGTCTTGTGACTAGCAGATCATATTTTTTTGGAGTTTATCATGAGAAGAATAAAATTTATTTCTTATATGTTAGATACTCTATGTTAATTAACTTTGCCCTCAAGATCCTTCTGATACTAGGTATTTTACATGCAACACAAATTTTGATAGTTACAACAAAATTAAAATTTCTAATGAAAAACTAGAAAGCATAATTTTAAAATAGAACACACATGCAAATAAATGCCTGTAGCAAAAATATACAGAACAATCTAAAAATACTTCAAATGCTATTTTAATTAATCTCTTATATGTAATTTAATATAGTTAGTTTAGTTTGGCTAGAGAATATTCCATATTTTTTAAATGATTAATAAAATGATCTTAATGCCAAATCCTGGAAGTCATTTATTGGTCCTAAATATCTTCTGTAATATTCACCAGCTATTAGAAATATATCATTATTACACTTTTAGGGAAGTTAACTAATCCTCCAAGAAATGTTTTGATTTATTCTGTCCAAATTAGTAGATAATCCTTATCAAGTGCAACACTAACCATAGCTGAAGGTCAGAACATTATTTCTTTAAAAACCCCAAGCATGTATACATCATCTCTCCCTTACAAGCAACTGAAGGCATCTTGAGTCAATAGTCGCAGAAGATGCATTATCACCTGGCTTGATTTTGCTATCTAAACATATCATCCATACACAAGTCTGACTAGTTGAACAAAACTATATATTATATTATAGAGAAATTGAGACCGAAATTGATTCAATCAGAACGAAATTTAGCATTTATAGAAACGAGCCAAAATGAGAGAAATAGGGGAGAAATCACACACATAGAGCTGAAATTTTTACATGTGTTTGATTCCAATATTTATTTAAATTTCAAAGCTTGAATTGGGTGGTGAGCTAGGCTCACCACTATACCACCCAACGCCTGACATTAGAGGTTTGAATTGGAAGCAAAACTCCAGAGATTATTAAAATAGCATTCTGTTTACCAAATAACAAAATAACTATTATTTCTTCCAATAACCTTGATTTTGGTCCTAGAGCATACAAACCTAAAATACCAAAATACCCAAAACAAACATGTCTTCCAAAATGTCTCAACAGGAAAATCATTACTAACAGCAACCTGGATTTTAAAAGTTTCAATGTAATACTTCAAAAATTCCTTAGGTTGGAAAACTTCCTAAAAATCATTTTTGGTTTTGAAGCCACAAAACCGAAACTATTTTATTGGCCGTTTCCACATGCCAACACACCAATTTAATTAGGAACACAATTATTATATTTTTCATGCTTGTCCATTCACAAATCGTACAACTTCTTCCCAGTTCACAAGGTTTGGACGAATTTTCAGGTGATAGAGCGTATTATTCTATTCATACCCTCACCCCCCAAAAAAGAAAAAGATCTTGAGTCGTAATTTTAAAAATTATTTGCTCTTTCCTTTAAAACGCGCACAAATTACAGCCGCTAAATCTTAAGAGGAGAAACCTTAAGTATCAAAAAAATGACGAGATTGTTAATATCCGGAGCTTTTTAAAATTCTGTGATGGGATAGGAGGCGGGAAAAAAAAATGTTAACTACTGGGAGGCAAAAAAAAAAAAAAAAAAAGGGGGGGGGGGGGAACATAACTCCTCAATGTACATTATTACCAAGGCTGGGAACAGACAGTACAACCTTTGCAACAGAACAGCTATAATAGAGCTTCGCCTTCACCACGGCGATATTAGAAAACGCCTTCTTGGAAGAAGATCCATTCACTCGCTACACTTCCCCGCTGAAAGTTTAGCAAGTCACATTTCTGGCAGTAATTCTGCATAAAAGGATGTGAGAACGAAACCCAGAATTCCCTACTTCGGGTTTACCTGACAAGGGAAAACGGGCCGAGACGCTGGCGGGAAAACCCTGTGGAAGTCAAGTTTCTCCGGTCCTGGGCTCCCCCTCCCCCTTCAGTAGAGAAATAATCCAAAGAAAAAGTTGAGAACCCGGCCCGCCAGGAGCCGGGGGCACCCACCGCGCGCAAGCCGGGCGCGCCTAGGCCCACTCGCATCGGCGAGGACGGCGGCGGGAGCCGGGTCCCGCGGTGGGCAGCACCACGGCCCCGCGCACCCGGCGGCCTACCGCCTCCAGCGGGCGGCGGGCAGAGGGCAGGGTAGGCCCGGCCTCCGGGCTCCCAAGCCCAGAACGACTCCCTTTCCCACCCGGGCTGCGCTCGCCCCTCCACGCTACCTGCCTCTCGAAAATCACATCCCGGGGCCGGGGTGCTGGGGGGAGGGCGCCAGGGAATGCAGTCGGGGCGTCTGGGGACGCAGAAAGGGGCCCGGGGCCACAGGCGGGCAACGGCCTAGAGGAGAGGCAGGGGGTGGGGGGGCCGGGGCCTGCAGCGACCAGCGAGCGGGGCGGTGGGCTGGAGCCCTCCGGAGAGCGGAAAAACAGGTTAAGGCCAAAGGGGTGGGGCAAGGCCTGCGTGAGGGCCAGAGCCGCGGCTGGGGAACCCTGAGGTGAGTTTAGGGTCGAATTTTGGGTCTCACCTAAAATCCTTGTCGCTGGATGTCATTTTTTCCAGCAAATTGGAAATATGGTACGAGGCGCTCGCCATGTTGACGGCCTGGATCCCGCCCGCTGGCGCTGCTGGCCGCTGCCGCTGCTGCTGGGGCTCCTCCTCTCGCTCGCGGCTGCTCCCGCTTCCAGGGTCGCAGCGCGACGCCGACGCCGACGCGGGAGGCGCCTCCTCCGGCTGCCCCCTCCCCGGCGAGGCGTGGGCCTGTCCCGGGGGAAGCAGAGGTTACGGGGCCGGCCTAACGACGGCGCTGCTCGCTGGAGAAGGAGCTCATGGGCGGCGAGGGGGACAGGAGGGCCTTTCCGGGAAGCCAGACACTTCCACTCGGGCACGTCGCGCTCCCACTCCCTCCGCACTCGCTCCCCAGGGCAAGAGGCCAAAACCCGCCTCCTTCACTCCCGGAGCGAGGGCGGGAGACGCTGGACGCCCCGGAAAGCTGAGGTCAGGGTTCACGGAGGGCTCCCCACGCACGCGGTGGAGACGCTAGTTACAGAGCAATTCTGTTGGCTGAGGCGTGTGTCAGTCTGCAGGGGACCCGCCTCTCAGCAGGCATGACAACGACCAAATGGGGCTGTTCTCGCGAGACTCAAAAGCGACGGTTAAGTGCCGGGGGAGGGGTCTCTGTGGAACAAGCGTGCCTTCATCTGAAAATGACTTGATTTTGTCTTGTATGACAGTAAGAGAAAAAGATGACCGTTTCTAAGGTATAGAAGGCCTGGGGGTATTGCCAATGAAGGGGTGAGCCCGGTGATCAACAAAAGCATTGTTAGAAGGGGCTTTCGTTTTCGAATCGACGCATGGCCTACATTGCCTTAACCATGATGGTGGAAATTGCCACGTGAAAACCACAAATCCCAGAATTCCGCGGGAGTGGTACACCATCGGCCTGTGATTGGCCGAAGGAACTTGTAGCTTCCTCATTGGCTCCCGTGGGAGGCGTGAATGCTGGGATTTGCAGTGTGGCCAGACGACCGTGGCGGATAAAAGCTTTACAGCACCGCGCCCTTCGTTCCTGCAGCGGTTTCGAATTTCCTCCCACAGCTGCTTTTACTGTTGTAGGATGTCTGCAGAGCGAGGCGGCTGCGGTCTGGGCAGGCGCATTACGTACCCGTTGGTGTTCTTGGCTGGGGGCCTAGTAGTGACTTCCTAGTATTACCTGTGTACCCTCATCCTCAGTGGCAGCTGAGCCCCAGTTGGGCACCCTCCGTCTGTGCACTGAAGAACCAGCAAAAGGACCATAGTTGATACTAATGGGCCAACGATAGATGATCTAGTGGGAGTCTATTCGCTTTGTTCAGAATAGTTTAAAGACCCTTCTATTCATCTTTTGTAATCTTGATAATCCGGCAGCTGTGTGTTTTTATTCCTTGACATACCCACACAACAATCGGAGATTAGATACCAAATAGATCGTTTCGGTATCCATATGTTTATTTGCTTTTAATTGGAATTAGCTAACTGGCTTTTCTAAAAGAAAAAAAGAAAGAGCCCAGACAGGAGACATGGAAAAATAAATCTCAAATCGGTGCGCCTGTTGAAGAATAATAGTAATCAAAACTTTAAATAGCTCCTTTCTTCCAAGTATCAATACCTTCAGTTTCTCTATCGACCATTCCTATAGTCCCCAAAAGCTTTTGAGTGTCTTCTGAAAGGCTCTGTCATTATGTTACAGGGTGGTCCCCTGAAAAAGGGGAGGTTTCAGGTTCCCTGCCCTAACTAAGAAAGGGTGGAGCTGAGCAGCAAGGAGGAAGCTCCAGAAGATAGTGGGAGAAGGAAGGAGCAAGGGTGGAGAGCAAGAAGGAGACCTGGAGGAGGCACTTGGAGCAGAAAGACATATAAAGAAGATGCACTTGCTTCTTGGTCTTGGACTGGTTAAAACATGTGGGTAAGACTAGTGGAGAGGTTAACAATGGCAGCTTTTATCTTGATTTTGATTTAGCTCTTCCTTACAGCATTGTGTGGCCATTTCCTATGAGTCCCCACCAGAAGGTGTAGACTTGTGGCAAACTTTCCAGCAGCAGTGGGCCTTCTTTGGGCCAACCCTGTTTGGCAGGGCATTTGCCCATGATGGGATGGGTAACTTGGGTGCTTGATTTAAAACTTTATTTTGTTTCTTTGTTGCACACTAATTGTATTAAAGTTCCTTTCCATTAGGTCTTATACACTAGAGTATGTTTTGCCTTGATACAGGCAGATGACAGAACCTATTTAGAACAGGCAGAACCTGTTTAGAACCCATTTAGAACTGGGGGTTGTGGGGTGCCCCTCACTTGCCCTATAACAGTAACTGTGGTAACAGTTGACAAAACAGATGAAACGTGATCTGTCTCATAACCCATACCTAAATGTCCCCTGTCATTATTCTTGTCTACCTCCATGTTTCTTTTTAGTTTTATACTATGTCTTATCCCACTAGTAACATAGCTCATCCCAAGTCAGTTATTGCTAGGTTCCCCGAATGCTTCAGCTGCAGTTAATTCCATTGCTCTGAGCAATCTTTCCATGATACATTTAATATAAGCTACACATACACATGCCACACACTAACAAGCTGGTCATTTTCATGTGTGAGCACACTAAGGCTTGAAATATGTCATCTGGTGACAACCTTTTCTTTTAGTCTGAATATAATCAGACACCAAGTTATGTTTTTTTCCTTTCCACCCTTGTATACTCATTTAGCCTTAATTATCTTTTTAAAAGGTCTTGTCTCCAAACACTGTTAAATTTGAGGTCAGAGCTTCAGCATATGAATTAAGGGGAGGCAAGTATATCCTATATAATATATATCCTATATAATATACTTAGTGTGTTGCCTGCAACATTTAAAAATAATGTAACTAATATTTTTTGCATACTTACACAGGTCATAAAAGGCATCTAATAGAAGTTATCTAATAAGTAATAGGACTGTGATCTTTCAGTCTGTTATTTGTCTCTATCACAAACCATTCTACATAGCTAATTTAGAGTTTTCCAAAACACTGTTTTCATTGGGGTATCTATCTTAAAAGTTTAGTAGCTCTCTAATACCAAAGTCCACATGGTTTGGCAGTCAGTGACCTTCTTCAATCTGTCCTTAACCCTTCTAACCTTTCTTCCATTCTAACAGAGGAATTGTTACTGCCAATTTTTTAGCTCCTCAAATATTCAACTCTAAGTTTCTGTACATCACCATCATTTTCATAACAATAAGCACATATTTAGTGGTCAGGCACTGCATTAACTCATTTGATTCCTAGTTTAAGTAGAACAGGAACTGAGCAGTAACTTGCTAAAGGAAATAATAAGGTTCAGTCATGATTAAAACCCAGTTGCTTCAGAGCCTATACCACAAACCTCTACCAAAATGCTTCTTACCACCTGGAATACCTTTTTCTCTAGGATCTTGAACCAATTATAGTGTTATATACTAGCCTCCAGCTATAAGTTCCGTTAGTGTATGTAACAACTTTAAATCACATCTGCCTCTTTTAAGTAGGTAGTCCATGCCAGTTTTGTAACAGGCACTCAGTAGTACTTTATTTCAAGTTCTTCACAATTTAGAGGTTTCATTTGTGTATCATTGAATATAGCTTATTGCTACAACACATTCCTTTAAGGAGTTGTAAATGCTAAATTAATTTTAGTTGCCAGAGCAGATAAATCTGTAACCCGTGAGTTTGATTTCTAGTCAGTGATCATACTGGAAAACTGATAAATTTGAGATAGAAAGAAAAAGGAGTTCTACAAGATGCTGAGAGGTTCTTTCAATCAACCAGTAAGTTAGCTGAGTTCAAAATCTTTTGAGTGCCTATGCTGTGAATGCACTGGGAATGCAAAAATTCAAGGCATTTTCCTTAGCTTGAGGAACATTCACATTGACCATACCTTAAATTTTTGTTTCAAGCAAAATTGAGAAAATTGCTTACCATAATAATACAGAGTTGAAACAAACATATAATCATGTCCTGTGTTTGAAATGAGGAATAGATCCTGAAATTGACTTTAAAATGTTTAAATAGGGCCTCCCTGGTGGCGCAAGGGTTAAGTCTCTGCACTATGAAGCTATCAGCAGCTACTGCAGCACGAGTTCTATACATGGCCAGGGAGCTAATCCATAAGGTACAGCAGTCCTCTCGTGTCTTGCAGTCAATCTGCCTGTTCTGCTCTCCACTCTGTCTCTGGTGAATCCTGTCTCTCCCCTCCCCCGCACCTCTGGCCTGTGCCCCAGCTCTTGTATACATAAATAAATAAATCTTTTAAAAAAATAAATAGGATTTTTTTTTCTGGTGGAGGACTTAAGATTGACAATCATATTTCTTTTAGTCCTTTGATGTTATTCAAAATAAATAAATAAATAAATGCTTAAATATGGTAAGACTGAGGTGAATTCAGTATAAACATGTAAAATATCAATGTAGGGAAGGCAATGGAAACATTATTTATTTGCTGTAACGAGTAATATGAAATTGTTCCGGTACCACCATGAAATGTTACCTTATTTTGTTTTTCAAACACTTTATCAGAAATTTTCTATGACTCTTAGTGAACTGCATAACTTCTTTTGAAATTTTAAAATTCCAATCTAGTTGAGGTCAATGTCCATCCTAATACCCACTTTTGTTTCTAGATCCTACAGGGCTAAGGAGGATGGTGAAAGAAGACCAGGGGAAGAGGCACATTTTCTTTAATGCTTCTTTCTTAATTGTTGATGCCATCTGACAGATTCCCAAATACTCTCTTGTGAGAATTAAGGTTGGAGTTCTTCAAGGTATCTTTCAGAGGCTTCTATTCTATATACTTCGTGACAGCACATCTGAACACTCCATGGCTCTCCATTTGGCAAATGGCACTTCTAGATGCGGTACTTCAGGAAGATTCAACCCCAGCTTACTGCTAAGGGAACTGTCTACTTTGCCCACTAAAAACTCATGCATCTTCACCATACTAAATGGAGGGAATGCAGGCTGCTGCACTGCTAATACCCCGTCTTTACCTTGCCACTTCTATTTCTGTTCCTCCCTTCTCATATGGATAGAGGTAAGGCACTGGCACTCAGATGACCTGAGGACACCAGGTTCTTTTAAGGGCGCCAACAGTAAGTGCTTCCTTATTGTTCTGTTTTGTTTTTCAGTCACTGTTTTCAAACACATTCTGTCAAATCCTTTCCTTCACTTTCAGTATATATTGGGCAGACCTCAAAGCTCTCCAGGCACTTCCCTTCCTGCAGGGATTCTCATTTTCTCTTGAGTGGTGGTGGGGTATTTGTTCATTTACTTTCATTCATTGGAGTGTGAAAGGGAGGAAAGACCCAGTACCCAGTTCTCTCCCAACTAGTAATGCCTACATTTCTCTTAGAATTCTCTCTTCCCAAGGCAATCTTATATAGACTGGAGGGTATTGGTAGGATGATGATAATAAAAGCACTTTTAGCAGAGAAGTGGGTCTCTTTAAAAATAGGATATTTTATGCCTAATGTTTTGAATATGGTCGCTTCTAAGACAATAAGAAATGTTTCATTTTATATATATATATATATATATATGGAAATAATGTGAAGAAAGATACCACTAAGAATGTGCAAGATCAGTAAAGAGAGACAAATTTAGAATGATAATGACTCTTGTATAGGAAAATGACAGATCTGGAGTGATATGACAAAGAATTTGAAAGGTTTTATGGAAGGTCTGTTTTATGGTTGTTAGAACCTAAATAGGTAACAAAATTTCCAGTGATTTCAGAAGAGTGCTATTGAGTTTGGGTTTTTTTTTTTTTTTTAAAGATACTTGAGGGCTTTAGATCAATTTTCATCATTCTCCCCTATTATTACAAGGAAATTCTACTGTAGCACTTCCCAAACTGTGTACTAGTTCCAAAACTTAGTTCCTTAAGAGGTCAATAAAAATAGATACTCGTGGAGTGTGCCTGATAGCGGGTAGAATTATGGTTTTTAAAAAAGTTTAGAAAATAATTTTCTTAACTGTGTAACATCTCAGAATGTTTCATATGCTAATATGTTATGAATCCCCAATAGGAATATATAGCTTACTATGGATTGGATTGTTTGTAGTTACCCTCCCCTTCCCTACAATGGCAACAAGTCATATGTTGAAGACCTACCCTCCAATGTTGATATTTGGAGATAGGACCTAGGGAGAAAAATTGGGTTTAAGGGCCTCCTTAGTGGCGCAAGGGGTTAAGACGCAACCTATGAAGCTATCCATGGCCACTGCAGCACGAGTTCGATCCCCTGGCCAGGGAGCAACCCACATGGCAGCAGACCTCTCCTGACTCGCCCGCTGTTCCCCTCAGTGGTGGATTTCAGTCAATCTGCCAGTTCTGTTCCCCACTCTGTCTCTGGTGAATCCTCTCGCCTCCCGTACCTCTGGCCTGTACCCCAGTTCTTATATACATAAATAAATAAATCTTTTTTTGAAAAAACACCTCTGGATGAGTACCTGTTTAAAAAAAAATATGCTGTCTTCTTCCCTCAAACTTTTTCTGCAGTGTTGGTGGTATAGTGGTTAGCATAGCTGCCTTCCAGACTTTTTCTCTGTCTTAAATTATTATCTTGCCTTTAATGTCATGCTAATTTTTCTTGCCATTGTATACAAAAGGATGACTTCCTATAGGTGTGTGTTTTTAGAAAGGGTAACCTAAGGAAACAATTGTTCTAAGTTATCTAAAAGTCAAATTGCATAAAGTGATACCATTATTTCAGTTAAGAAATTGGATACATACAGATTTAAAAAAAGAAAATTAGGTTTAAATAAGGTCATGAGGGTTGGGCCCTCATGATGAGATCAGTGCTTTTATAAGAAGAAACACTAGAGAGAGCTTGCTCTATGCCTTGTGAAGACTGAGAAAAAAGGTGGCCATTTGAAATTCCAAACTCTAGAAGTGTAAAAAATAAGTTTCTGTTATTTAAGCCACTCCAGTCTATGGTATTTTATTATGGTAGCCCAAACTGACAAATATAAGGATATACTATTTGCACATTTGAGCACAGTGTTTGAAAAATGTTACCTGTTACCATCTCAATGAATGAGCGTGCCATGATGGGGAGGAAGAGGGTCTTGGTACAAAGTAAGTTTACTCGACATTTGTTTTAGAACAGTTTTCTGCCAAGTAAATGTGAACTGTGCTTTATTAATATATTTGCTGAAAATTGAGTTCAAGGAAAGTAGAGCTATGTTTATTCAACCAGTTATTAATTTCTGAAATAAAATTCTTTTGTTGCCTGTCAGAGCTGATATGTTAATTGGGGAGGGAAAGGGTACTTCTGATTTGTTTTCAGTGGGAACAGCTTTCCACTCAGACACAAAATGCTTCCTGTTACAGATCATTTGTCAATATTGAATTCAACTTAGAAGCAAAAGGAAGTAAAAGCTATGTAAGACTAATCTTAAAAAGATTTATTTCCAATTGATTAGAAACAACCCAACAGCTAGAGTTTTCCCTGTGATCTACTTTCTTCTGAACAACTGCTAGAAGCTCTTAGTAAATTTTTAGTGGAACTCTAAATCAAACTTAATTGTTATTCTATGAAAGGATTATTCTTTTCAAGTGAGAACTACATTTGCAGCATATTAAAGAAACTTGCAAAGATTATTTATGTCAGAATGTGCCTCCTTTGGAAAAGCCTACCTTTTCATTCTTACTTTTGACTTTTATAATATTAACTGATCATCCTGGCATTTTAAAGTCATAATTTTTTTTAAAGATTTATTTTTTATTTATACAATAGCTGGGGTACAGCATGGGAAGGTGAGAGGATTCGCCAGAGATAGAGTAGGGAGGAGAACAGGCAGACAGACTGAAAGCACTGCTGAGGGGAGCAGCAGGCAAGACAGGAGAGGTCTGCCGCACCATGTGGGAATCTCCCTGGAGGGCTGGGAATTGAATCCGCAATGCAGAGGCTGCAGACAGCTTTGCAGTGCTGTGCTCAACCTGCTGCACCACTGGGGAGGCCCATAATATTTTCTAATGTGAGTTTTCTGCATAAACTTATGCAGAAAGATGCAGAGGAAGTGCTAGAATTCCACAAGGGCTGCATTTTGCGTTAAGTGTAGATGCTGTGCTAATGCTGTCTTGCCCTACTACTTTAAAAGGTGTTCTGTTTACGACCAGGTGCAAGTTTTGATTTTTTGAAAAAAGGTGTGAAAAAGTAATTAAAGAGAAATCATGAGCCTATTAGGATCAAGGGTTTAAAATAATTTTAATAAAATGAAGTTGGAAAAATCGTTATTTTAGTGAAATAGATTTGATGAAATGGTACTGAGATTCTTTCAGCAATGGATATTTCACACAATGAAACCTAATAAGTAGAGTGGTAAAAATGCCATATTCTGGGGGGCAAAGTGCTGATTATATAAATATACATACTGTCTATATCATTTTGGAAAACTCACTTTTCTAAGTAAAAAAAGGAACTAAATAAAAAAAATCTCAAGTAAACTCTACATTTCATGGCAAATTTAATAAGTATTTTGCATCAGTTCCTAACAAGTAGAAGAGCTTTGTTGTGATGGGTATAGTTATAAACATTTAAGAGATGTCACAGTCCAGATTGGTGTAGAAGAAAATGTTTATTGATTGGAGCAAACTATTACTTTTAATAGCATAATCAATGCTTAAAAAAGGGAAAAACACACTCCATAGTGTGTATATACCACATCATCTTGATCCAGTCATCCATGGACAGACACTTAAGCTGCTATTGTTCCAACAATATTATAAATACTGCTATTGCAACAGGGTGGTCCCCAGGAAAGGGGGAGGTTCCCTGTTGCACTACTATGAACACAGTGAAACATATGTGGTTTGGGTTGATGGTTTTATATTCTGTAGGTATGTGCCCAAGAGTAGGATTGCCTGGTCATAAGATTTCCATTTTTAATTTTTAAGGTAAATCCAGATTGCTTTCCATAATGGTTGCACTAGTTCATGTGCCTGCCAGCAGTGTAATAAGATTACCTTTTCTCTGAATTCCCTCCAACAATTCTTGTTGATCTTTTTAACATGCACCAGTTTTATGGATATGAGATGATATTTCATTATAATTTTAATCTGTGTATCTCTTATTAGAAATGACGAGGAACAATTTTTTTCATGTCTTTTATCCATGTTGTTGAATTGTCTGTTAATATCGGCTGCTCCTTTATTAATTAGGTTAATTGGTTTTTTATTGAAGTGTATGGGTTTTTCACTATATTGAATAGTAATCCCTTATTTGTTATTTATTGAGTGAATATTTTCTTCCATTTGATAGGGTAGCTGTTTAATCATTTTGTATTTTCTTTTTTCTTTTTAAGTTGAAAAAATCCAAATTGTTTATTTTTGGTTTTAATTCCCTTGTTATAATGGCTGAGTCACCAAAAATATCTTTATTGTTATCATGGAATGTATCACCAATGTTTACTTCTATATATTTTAGTGCTGCAAGACATATATAAATTTTTGATCCATTTGGAATTCAGTTTTATGTATAGTATAAGAGAGTGATCCAACTTCATTCTTTTATATGTGGCTTTCCAATTTTTCCAGCATCATTTATTAAAGACACTGTCTTATATAGATGGATTTATTTCTGCGTTTTTGATTCTTTTCCACTGGTCCATGTATCTATTTTTTGTTCCCATATCATAGTGTTTCTAATACTGTTTTACAATGAAATCTTAAGTCAGGTAGCATGATACCTCCAATTCAGAAGGCTTGCAATTCAAAGCCTTTTGTGTTTCCATATAAATTTCAATATTTTTTGGTTCAGTTTCTTTGAAAATATTGCTAGTATTTTAATGGGGATATTTTGTATATCATTTTAGGCAAGATAGTCATTTTGATTATATTGATTCTCCTTATCCATGAGCATGGAATATACTTCCATCTCCTTATGTTGCTATGTAGGTCCTTTAATAAACTTCTTGTTGTTCTCATTATACAGGTCTTTTACCTCCTTTGTTAGGTTGCTTCTTTTTGAAGCAATTACAAATGGAGTTATTTTCTTAATTTCTTTTGTTTCCTTTTTGTTGTTTGTATATAAAAAGTTATGGATTTTCTATGTTGATTTTGTAACTTTCCATCTTGCTATATTCATTTATTGTTTCTACTAACTTTCTGATGGTCTTTAATATTTCCTTTATATAATATCATGTCATCTGTGAAAAATGATAATTTCACTTCTTTTCCCTACTTGGATTCCTTTATTTCCTATGTTTATCTGATAGCTCTGGCCCAAAACCTCTAGTACTAACTTAAACAGAAGTGGTGACAATAGGCATCCTTGTCTTGTGTCAGATCTTATGGGGAAAGCCTTCAGTTTTTAAAAGTATCTGTGTCTTATTTTTTTTCTTAAACATTTACTTAGTACAAATGTCATTATGTGAGTACATGTAGATGTGCTATTGTTTATATTTTATAAAATGCCCAGTGAATATGCTGTGAAAATACTATAATCTGATATAACCCAAATTATATACATTTTTAGCTTACTCATATATATTGGTAACCAAAAATGACTTTTCAGGTAATATTTCAGGTGTAACTCAATAGCAAAAATCCCCAAATAATTGTATTTAAAAATGGACAGAAGTTCAAAATAGACATTTTTCTGAAGAAGACATATAATAGGCCAGCAGGTACATAAAAAGATGCTTAACATCTGCAGTCATCAGGGAAGTACAAATGAAAACCACACCTGGGGGCCTTCCTGGTGGAGCAAGGGGTTAAAGTATCAGCACTACCAAGCTGTCGCCAGCCACTGTGGCCTGAGTTCACTACCTGGGCCAGGGTACTAACTTACATGGCACAGCAGACCTCACCTCTTTCGCCAGCTGCTCCCCTCAGCAGTGTATTTCAGAAGATCCCCCTGTTCTGCTCACCACTCTGTCTCTGGTGAATCCTGTCATACCCAAACCTCTGGCCTACATCCCCGTTCTTGTATGCATAAATGAATAAAATAAATATTTAAAAATAAATAAAATATTTTTTTTTTAAAAAGAAAACCATCTGTTAGGATGACTATTAACAAAAAGAAAAGTAATAACCAGTGTTGGTGAAGACATGCTGAAAAGGGAGCTCTTATGCACTGTTAGTGGGAATGTAAATTGATGCAGCCACTATAATATTAGTAGGGTAGATCTTCAAAAAATTAAAAATCAAATTACCATATATGCAGCTATTCCTCTTCTCAGAATATATCCAAAGAAAATAAAAACACTAACTTAGCAGTTTTATTTACAACAGCCAAGTCATGGAAAACACCTAAGTGTCCATCAGTGGTTGAGTGGATAAAGGAGGTGTGTCATACACAAACACACATGGAATGGAATATTATTGAACTATAAAAATGGTAATTCTACCATTTATGACAACTTGAATGGACCTTGAGGGCATTATGCTGAATGAAATAAATCAGATGGATAAAAATAAACATTGTATGA